CATGTTGATGTATTGGACTGAATCATTATTTACTTTTAATGCCTCTCCTCCTCCTCTCTCCCTCTCCCTGCTTCCCTGATTCATAGGTAGTGATCTAATGCCTGATTTCTTTTTAGACGAGGCCGAGAATTGAATGTACACATGTACATGTACTGTATATCTACAATTTCCTTCAAATGAATCCACTTATGACTGGATTCATAAGTGGGAGACTACTCAAGCTATCCCCACAATGGACACCTGCTGACACATAAGTGAGGTTACTTAACACATGCATGCGCACAATGAGTAGTTTTAGAGTGACTGGAAATATGAATATCATCATTACCATTACATATTATACATGTCATTACATATTATGTATGTCAGTGACGTTAGAACTTGTGATATCCGCAAAGTTTCTTTTACATGTCCGCACACAACAACCAGGGAATGACTTTGGAACTAAGAGAAGCCAATCAAGTTATGAAGTGTGCAGACAAAATTAGAGAATGCACTTGAGCACATTGTATGTAAAATAATGTAAAATAAATATTGGGATGAGCCTAAGCGAGCCCCACTAAGACATAACAAGTCTGTTTGTCTGTCGTCTAACTGTTATTAAAGTTAAATAGCCTAATCTTCATTGAAAACGGGTGTGGTCACAATGAATAAAATGGCGGCTATCAACAAGTCTGAGCTTATTTGCAACAAACTGTCTGCAAACGGTCAGCAAGATAAGACTAAACTGCTGTCCAAAGACTTCTCTAGCAAGAAGAAAGGTAGGAAAAGCAGTTATAGAGTCTTTTTCTTCATATACAGGAGTCTGATAAGGTGGGAAAGCTTCATGTAGCTACCTGCATGACTCATGAGATCTATTCTAGGTGATGTTTCTTCTCTAGCAGCAAGCCTAGGTTAACAAAGCAGATCTACAATCTTCTTTGCTCAGTGACTGCTTCTGACTTATCTTAGACTTGTGTGCTATAAGCAATTGCTGCAGGCTTAAGTGATGAAGTCGGTGATAGAGAAATTTAAGCAAGATGGCTGCATCAATATCTACTGTATTTAGACATGTGTAATTACTTTAATCATACAACACATACCGTATACTGGGATATTTTCGCGTCGCTAAATTTTCGCGAACTTTGCATTTGTAAGATTTCACGAAATAATATTTTCACGAATAGCCTGTAAACTCCACCACGTGGCAATGGAAATTTAGAATTTCGTGATTTTTATTTTCGCGACGGAGCAAAAAACGCGAAATTCGCGAAAATTTGGCTACTCAAAAATTTCCCAGTATACGGTAATCTATAGACCACCCGCGCGTTAGGTAACACTTCTTTGAAGTCGGCAAAACATTGGGGTACACGTGGCCAGACACACCCACTGGTTGGCAAAAAGCAAAATGGTAGTGAGCTGTAGTGCTGTCGGGTGTCAAAACAGGCATAGAGAAAACAAGGAAATTGGCTTCTATAGAGCCTTAGTTTTTCCAAAAGAAAGGAAAAAGTTTTGGATAAACACTATGAAGAGAAAAAACTGGGAACTAACCAAGCATACACGACTATGTGGAGATCATCTTGTCCTAGTCTAATTTTTGGAAGGCT